CTAGATACTTGAACTAACAGCCATAACGAACATAAGTCTTAGTTTAAAAACATATCGAAGGTCCTGTGTTTGAAAGGGAAGGTCCTGTGTTTTAAAGGGTAGGTCCTGTGTTTTAAAGGGTAGGTCATGTGTTTTAAAGGGTAGGTCATGTGTTTTAAAGGGTAGGTCCTGTGTTTTAAAGGGTAGGTCCTGTGTTTTAAAGGGTAGGTCCTGTGTTTTAAAGGGTAGGTCATGTGTTTTAAAGGGTAGGTCATGTGTTTTAAAGGGAAGGTCCTGTGTTTTAAAGGGTAGGTCCTGTGTTTTAAAGGGTAGGTCATGTGTTTTAAAGGGTAGGTCATGTGTTTTAAAGGGTAGGTCATGTGTTTTAAAGGGTAGGTCCTGTGTTTTAAAGGGTAGGTCCTGTGTTTTAAAGGGTAGGTCATGTGTTTTAAAGGGTAGGTCATGTGTTTTAAAGGGAAGGTCCTGTGTTTTAAAGGGAAAGTCCTGTGTTTTAAAGGGTAGGTCCTGTGTTTTAAAGGGTAGGTCCTGTGTTTTAAAGGGAAGGTCCTGAGCTTTAAAGGGAAGGTCCTGTGTTTTAAAGGGAAGGTCCTGTGTTTTAAAGGGAAGGTCCTGTGTTTTAAAGGGAAGGTCCTGTGTTTTAAAGGGAAGGTCCTGTGTTTTAAAGGGAAGGTCCTGTGTTTTAAAGGGAAGGTCATGTGTTTTAAAGGGAAGGTCCTGAGCTTTAAAGGGAAGGTCCTGTGTTTTAAAGGGAAGGTCCTGAGTTTTAAAGGGTAGGTCCGGTGTTTTAAAGGGAAGGTCCTGAGTTTTAAAGGGTAGGTCCTGAGTTTTTAAGGGAAGGTCCTGAGTTTTAAAGGGAAGGTCCTGTGTTTTAAAGGGAAGGTCATGTGTTTTAAAGGGAAGGTCATGTGTTTTAAAGGGAAGGTCCTGTGTTTTAAAGGGTAGGTCCTGTGTTTTAAAGGGAAGGTCCTGTGTTTTAAAGGGAAGGTCCTGTGTTTTAAAGGGAAGGTCCTGAGCTTTAAAGGGAAGGTCCTGTGTTTTAAAGGGAAGGTCCTGTGTTTTAAAGGGAAGGTCCTGTGTTTTAAAGGGAAGGTCCTGTGTTTTAAAGGGAAGGTCCTGTGTTTTAAAGGGAAGGTCCTGTGTTTTAAAGGGAAGGTCATGTGTTTTAAAGGGAAGGTCCTGAGCTTTAAAGGGAAGGTCCTGTGTTTTAAAGGGAAGGTCCTGAGTTTTAAAGGGTAGGTCCGGTGTTTTAAAGGGAAGGTCCTGAGTTTTAAAGGGTAGGTCCTGAGTTTTTAAGGGAAGGTCCTGAGTTTTAAAGGGAAGGTCCTGTGTTTTAAAGGGAAGGTCATGTGTTTTAAAGGAAGGTCATGTGTTTTTAAAGGGAAGGTCCTGTGTTTTAAAGGGTAGGTCCTGTGTTTTAAAGGGAAGGTCATGTGTTTTAAAGGGAAGGTCCTGTGTTTTAAAGGGAAGGTCCTGTGTTTTAAAGGGAAGGTCCTGTGTTTTTAAAGGGAAGGTCCTGTGTTTAAAGGGAAGGTCCTGAGTTTTTAAGGGAAGGTCCTGAGTTTTAAAGGGTAGGTCCTGAGTTTTTAAGGGAAGGTCCTGTGTTTTAAAGGGAAGGTCCTGTGTTTTAAAGGGAAGGTCCTGTGTTTTAAAGGGAAGGTCCTGAGTTTTTAAGGGAAGGTCCTGAGTTTTAAAGGGAAGGTCCTGAGTTTTTAAGGGAAGGTCCTGAGTTTTAAAGGGAAGGTCCTGAGTTTTAAAGGGTAGGTCCTGAGTTTTAAAGGGTAGGTCCTGAGTTTTTAAGGGAAGGTCCTGTGTTTTAAAGGGAAGGTCCTGTGTTTTAAGTGGTAGATATCGTGCCAAAATGTGCAATCGTTCACGATTGCACAATTTGGCACGATATCACACTTTTTTTTGAGTTTGAAGTGATTCTTTGGTGTTGGTCGTAAGGTCCACATATCAACCTCTGGAGGGTTATTAAAGCCACCACAATAGTTTACAGACCAACCAGCAAGTATACTCCAGTGCTGAACACCAGCCTGAACAAAAGTAAACTCTCAATGTACACCAAGAAGTGAGGTACACCTCTCAGATTAATGTAATTTCTCCCAAAATCGAGTCTAAATTCGGGAGTGTCATTTTCTACGCCCCTCTGGTACACTGACCATTTTCTTTCAAGTAATATTTTATTCGAGATCGGAGGGGGTGACTATTGCTTATTTTATTGACGTTTAAGACTAATGTAATAGTTTTAGCACTGCAATAATTGCTTACTGATTTGTTTGACTCATTTTTTTTAACAATCCTGGCCATGAACGGGTAATTATGTGCATGAGGAAATTTCGGTAAAAAAAATTAATGATGTATATGATTAAAATGATTTAATATATTCTTGAAATAATAATGATTTAATCTCCAATGATTTAAATTTATAATAAAAATATTGCGTGATTATATATATATATATATATATATATATATATATATATATATATATATATATATATATATATATATATATATATATATATTATATATATATATATATTAAATAAATATAGGGATACCCCATATATAAGATTGGGTACCCCGGCTGTGCCCGGGTCTCTTTCTCTCCCCTCTTTCTCTACCTATTCTCCTATTCCCTATCTTCTCCCTCTCCACCTTTCTCCTCTTCTGTCCTGTACACATCCCCCATTCTGACCTTCAACCTATACTCTCCTCCTATCTCTCACCTCTCCCTCTCGTCGACCAGCCTATGTCGCTCCCACACCACCCCACGTATCATCTTGAAAAGTTGAGTGGCACTAGCCACAAGCGTCAGGCTACACAGACAAGAGACAATATATATATGTATAAATATAAGACCCATAAAGACACACACCCTTAGCCACCTTTTTAAAGATTCACCTGAGATCACTTGACCTCAAAATATTACTTGACTTCAAGACATCACTTGATCTCAGGGTATCACTTGACCTTAGGACATCACTTAACCTCGAGACATCACTTTAGGACACCACAAAAACGCTACTCTTGCAAATCACTTTCGGAACCATCCAAATAATTCCCGCATCTCAGCGTTTTTTTCCCCGTAACTTTTCGTTCGTAGCCCGGAGAGATAACGTACGTTCCCCTCCTCGTGGCTGTGACATAAACTCTGACCGCACAAAAAAGAAAACGCACGAACGGCTATAAATATATCCCACCAGTCCGGATACGAAAGCTATGTAGAAAATGTGTAGTGGGCCGGCAGGCGTAGGTTAAGGGAAGGGGGGGGGGGGTAAGGGGGGGTAAGGGGGTAAGGGGGGAGAGTAAATGGGTTGGATGGGGGTAAATAGGGGAAAATGGGGTAAGTGAGGGGTAAGTGGGGGAGTGGTGGAGCCGGATACAATTCATGGGGTCTGGGAGTCAGATCGACAGCTTCTCAAAGGGATAGGGGGAAATAGTTCGATCTGTTGAGTCTTAACCGAGGAGCTGGACCCAAGAGTTAAAGCCCAACACTTGCACGCACATCCAGGAAAGTGCACTTTATTAATCACATATACCACACACACGCGCGCGCGCACACACACACACACACACACACACACACACACACACACACACACACACACACACACACAGACACAGACACACACACACACACACACACACACACACAGACACACACACACACACACAAACACACAGACACAAACACACACACACACACACACACACACACAGACACACACACGGACACACACCCACACCACACACACACACACACACACCCCACCCAACACACCCCCACACACATTCACCACACACACACAACACACACACACACACACACACACACACACCACACACACACACACAAAACACACACCAACACACACCACCCACACCCACACACACACACACACACACACACACACACACCCACACACACACACAACACACACACACACACACACACAAACACACACACACACACAGACACACACATACACACACACACACACCACACCACACACACACACACACACACACACAGACACACACACGGACACACACACAGACACACACACAGACTACCCAAAAGTGAACATTTCCTGCGCCCCGCCAAACTCTTGGCAGCTGTACGGAGGAAAAACAAGAATTTGACCCCAAACTCAATTTTTTCCATACTCAACTCAACAACCCTTCAGGGAATTGGAATTCACTCACCGACCCTGCATTTGGTCTCCAAATTCAGCTTAAATCTTTCCAAAGGCCGAGAGGAAGTAGAGCCACGGTGAAGTAAAACAGGAATCCCTTGCTTGCTTGCTTGCTTCCTGAAAGATGGTGTTTTTTTTACCACATTTCTATAGACAGTTCCTTCGTTAGAAGTGTTCATGAGATTGAATAAATGAGTTATTGCATGTTTTCAAATTGGTCGTGTGTTTAAGTATGAGAGAGAGAGAGAGAGAGAGAGAGAGAGAGAGAGAGAGAGAGAGAGAGAGAGAGAGAGAGAGAGAGAGAGAGAGAGAGAGAGAGAGAGAGAGAGAGCATCCGGCCCTATACTCAAGTTAACAGCATCTTAAAAACACACACCAGATGCCCCACACCTGAGGCTCAAGACATCAAAGGTGCCAAGCTCCTCCTTCTCACAGGTGTCAGACTGCCTTGGGTCAAAATAAACAATATTATAGAAATTCCAAAATTCTTCCATTTTTGAACAAATTCTTTTTTCTTCCTCCTCCTCTTACATCTTCTCCTCCTTCTTCTGCTGCTCCTTCTTCCCCTCTTTCTCATTCTCCTTAACCTGCTGCTACTCTTGCTTCTCTTCCTCTTTCTCTCTCCTTTTCTTTGCTATTCCCGTTTCTCCTGTATCAACTTTGGGGCAGGGAATATACTCCTCTGGATCACAGTGGGATGAGGGAAAAGTCTGATTCTGGGTAAGGAAAGTCTGTTTGTATGTGAAGTAAAGGCTGGCTTTTACTTAGACTGAAAGTCACGCTCTTGCGATGAAGAAGACTTGGCTCTCCAATACAGCAAAGTCTGGGCCCCTTCAAGGGAGGAAAGTCTTGGCCTGATAGGGAGGAAAGTCTGACTCTTATTTGGAGGAGGTGGGTGTTACGGCCACAATGGGTCGCAACCGGGTTCTTTGCTGGTGAACTAAAGTTCTGGTATCTGGCCCCAAGTTAGTAGTGGCTTTTAAGGAGTGAGCTCGGTAATGCAAGTAAAACACAATGGGGGGGAGTTGCATTGAATACGACACTTTATCAATTATCAATATATTCACATATGATTACTTTCCCATCACCTCATATATAATCATAAAGGAAGTATTACTACACTTAATATGTACACAAGTGTGTCTCTCATAGGACACTAAGCGCTCCTCGATGCTCATGCGATGCAGCCTTGTCAGCTACCGTGTTTCCTCAACACAGTACCGTCCTCAACCAGTACTGGGAAACACCAACGAGTCTACCCTGGCCACGGGCCAGCCTACCCCTAGCCACGGGCCAGCCTATACACAGTCTCACTAGGTGCTCCTTGTGAACGCCCACACTCACTCTCCAGCCTGGAGCTGGCAGAGAACATCAGACTCGCGCTGCTGGGCCTCTTCACATACAAATACAAGGGTAGCGAACCCCCTGGCAGGAGCTTCTTGCAGCTCTCTGGTTACACTCCTCCGTAGCACCTTACTGTCAGTCGTCTCTTCCTCTAGCCAGTCCCTGGTACGCCGAATTCTGTCACTGCCACTTCACAGGCAGACAGTAGAACACTACACAGTTTTTCTCCGGCGGCGGCTCACTGCTTCCATAAAGCAGAATGGTGTAGAGAGATATTGGCTGCCCTGGGTAGACTGACTGTCCTCGTACCACAGCAGCCCTACGTCGACTCTGTGGATACAGACACGTCATCAGTACACTGGACACTACATGGGACACTAGGATACACCACTTACGTACTCCGACATAGACATACAACTCCTCCTATAATAGATGGCGCTGCTTTTCTAGGCGCCACCTCACCAGAGGTCAGCACCAGCTACCTCTCTATCTGACTAGGACAGGAATCTAGCGCCTCTTGCTGGTATAATCCTGTCACCACTAGATGGCGTCGTCCATGTTGTGGGGGTTCAGGGAGCGGACTCACAGATGGCGTTGACGTCGCAGCTCCATGCTCCGACGATGGAATTGGGTTCGTAACAGTGGGAGGAGGCTATTCATTACTCCCCACTATGCTTTGGTGGGGAGGGAAGTCTTGTTCCGACAGTGAATAAAGTCTGGTAGTCTCTCAAACTACGTGACCATAGTTGCAGGAGAGAAGTCGTAAGTTCAAATCGCTGA